GGCTGGAAGGGGCCTCAGGAGGTCACATCTAGCCCAACCCCTGCTCAAAGCAGGACCAGCCCCAACTAGATCATCCCAGCCAAGGCTTTGTTTACGCAGGTCTTAAAAACCTCCGAGGATGGAGCTTCCCCACCTCTCTGGGTAACCTGTTCCAGTGTTGTACTACCCTCCTAGTGAGAATTCTTTTTTCCTATTTCTAACCTAAACTTTCCTTGCTGCAACTTGAGCCCATTGCTCCTTGTTCTGTCATCTGTCACCACTGAGGACAGTCCAGCTCCATCCTCTTCCAAACCCCCCTCCAAACCCACCTTTTACAAAACAGCAGCAGTGTAACTGGAGGGGGTGAGCTGGGTACCAGGCCCAGGTGCCAACTGTGACAGGGCACCAGAACACCTCCTCCCCTCCATTCCCCCGGAGTCTATGCCATGGCAGGCATAGCTGCCCAGCCATAGGAGATGGGCAGGCACAGCCCTGCTCCCAGCTGTGTATCTGGGGATGGGAGGCCACGTTGGAATGGCACCCTCCTCCTGCACCCTGGGATGTCTCTGCAGAGAAGGCACAGCCCTGCACCCAGTAGCATATCTGGGAGGGCAAGGGAGGAGGAAGCAACAAACAAGGCACCTGAAGCAGCTCCTAAGAGCCCATGTAATAGGGCTACAGCAGTAGTGAGAACTGCAGCTGTCTCCAGGATGTAGAGGTGAGCAGGCAAGACTCTGCTGCCCCCTCCTTCCCTTCCCTTCCCTTCCTTTCTTCTGCCCCTTCATCCTGTCTCCCGTGGTCTGCAGATTCCCCCTAGCCTGCCCCAGATACTGAAAAAGCTCACTGCACCTTTGTAAAATAGCCCAGTAACTAAGGCACTTGCCCCCACAATGGAAGACTCTTGCAAGGAAATGAATCTCATTCTCCCCTGTCTGGGCCTGGGGTTGTAACCCTAGACCAGAGGTTCTCAAACCATGGAGCTCTATTCAGGTGGTCCATAGAAAGGTTGTGGAACAATCGAGAATGTCTGTACTTGCCCCTGCACTTGATTTATTTTTATTTTTATTCGTTTAAGTGGTCTGCTGAGACCCGCAGCAATTTTCAAGCGGTTCACAGAAAAAAAAAGTTTGAGAACCACTGCCCTAGACCGCTCAATGGAAGCTGAGGTAAGGTCCCCACCACCCTTCCTTCTGGCTGCTCTTTAAAAGAAAGTGACAGATACAGCTCCATTTTGTATCTGATCTGATAAGGATGTACTAGTACAAGTCATGGATGTACTAGCCCTGCTCTGAGAACACCTACCAGACTCGTCCTCCCAGGGACCTGGGGTAATGAAGGCCTAGGTTTTGGATCCCGTTGGTTAGTTGCAAACCGGGCTCTCATTACTTCGCTCTATCAACATGGGGTGGTTCTGGACACTTGGAGAGGTACAGCTCTATGCATCTATTACAGTAAAAACAGGGCGCCTATGGAGTTGTGCTTCCAAAATTAGGAAACAGGAGTGGAAGTTTTGGAGATCGTGGTTTGGTACTCAGACACCTTTCCCTTGCAACTCACCATGGGCACTTCTGGCCCATGGATCTGATCAGCTGGGCTCCCTGATTTCACATGAACCTTCCCCAGAATACTCAGATCTATGTAGAGGAGCAATATAAGGTTCCTCTCTAAATAAAGTAAAAACTCAGCCTTTTATAAGGCCCACACTGGCTGCATGCTTGCCTGGTTACATGGGGATGGAGATGAATAGTGAAAGACGTTATGTTCCATTTGTATGATTGGGGACATTGTATTAGATAAGCACCAAGTTCACAGGTCAAAAGCGCCGTGTTTTCTTTACAATTAGCATGAACCTAACATAGATTAGATTAGTGTTTTGTTCTATTTATTTTAAATTGACTACATGTTAACACTATTCAATGAGCTTGGATAATCTGACAAACAGATTCCTGAGCTTTTAATTAACCCAAATTGAATGGATGACCCTGTATTAAAATAAGACCCTGTATACATTAACCAAAATACACACACACAAAAATATTTTACCAGCCCCTTATGCATCTGAGATTGTCATCTAGTCAGCCTGGATCAAATAATTGAAAGGTGGATTTGAGAACTCATCACTAAGACATGTGATCCTTAATTGAGAAACTCTTCCTCTGAGGTGAAAGGCGTTTCGCATGATTAAGGTTTGAATTGACCTTTTAGTCTTAATTGTGATGCAGTGTCAACTCTTATCTCACCTGCCTGGAAGCACTGGAATTGCCTTGAGCTGTATATAGATGTGCTACATAACTTGTCTGAATCCTGAAATCGGCTTCTTGAATATTCGTGATCTCTCGGAGCTTCATCAGAGTGACAAGCTAAGATTTCATGGGGTATTTCTACTCTCATTTCTCTCTCATTTCTCTTCTCATTTCTCTTCTCAGCTGCATTACATGGGTCACATGACCCGCAAAACCCTCTTTCCTACAAATTAAAAGAAGAGAAAACAGTTGTAAAAAAAATTGAGAAGTACAGCTACCTTGGTTGTAACTCAGATTCCACTGTGCCTTGAGCAGCGCTCACAATTTTGTGCACATTCATATCTGCTGTTATTCATTTGTATTGTTGTAGCAATGAGGAGCCCCAGGCCTGAATCGGGACCCCATGACATTAGGCAGTGTATAAATACATAATTGAGTTCCTTTACGAAGGGCTTTTACTGTCTATAGACCAGGTGCAAAGTGTTCAGGTTGTCCACAAAACTTGCAGTGCCAGTCAGCAGTTTGGTCTAGCTCAAAGCCCTCGTCGCTTTAATTTAATGTGAAGGATGTGCTGTCCTGCAGCGTTCTGCCTGCCAACTTTTCGTCCTATGTTTTGTATGAATTAACTTGCAATTAAGACCACCAAATGTAAAATGCTCAGCTTGTAATCAGAAATATGGCAGACAGAAGATTTCGGGTCTGATCTTGCAAGCCCTCTTCAAGCACAAACCCCACTGATGTCAACATTATTTTACAAAGACTTGAAAAGGGAAGCAGCTGACAAAGTCAATATGTTATTAAATTATCTCATTTACAAAGCTGAACAGAGGTATAAAATTGGCTCCGAGTGTCAAATACAATTCCCAGCCATCCTCCGGGAGTCCTGTTATTTAGTCTGTGTTCCAGACACCCTGCCTTTGCTTTATTAGCTCCCTGCTGAAACAAGATAATTATTCATAATCTGTGTGTGTGGGATCTAGACAAAAAAAGGCTCTTGAAATTCAGCTGCTTTAATGAATGGCTGTTAACTTGTAAAACACAAGGTTTCCTATTATATACGGACATCGTTTAGCCTAGAGACAACCCCCTGTGGCTGCTCTACAGGATCCGAGGGCCTCCTTGCCACAGAACGAACACGCTTTTGTCACACACCGGGAGCGGCAGAACGGGAGGATTTTGGGCCAGGGAGATGTATCCAAGTGTAGAGGCTAGAGCCGGGATCTCTCCAGGAACTTTGCCATAGGGCTAGAAGACACGAGTCCTGACGTAGCTGAGCAGATAGCAGTGCGATGCTATTGCCGCAACAGTTGCGTTACGGGATTCACTGGCTTCCCCAGTGCCTCAAGAAGGTGCCTAGGATGGGAACTGGGATAGCATTTCAATCCAGCCTAAAAAATGCCACTTTCCTCTCTCCTCCCTACCCCAAGTTAACATTACAAAGAAAAGAAAAAAAAGAAAATCACAAACCCCCTTGCTCATCTTGTATAATCTTCTGGAAATGCACAAGGATAACGGTTAATAGGAAGGCAAATCCTCCTTCCAGGCCTACAAAAATCATTTTCTGGCATCCACATGAGGCTTCAACATGTATTGCTCACCTTCCCCCACCAAAGAACGCCTGTGCTTGGATACAAGAGGCCCTATTGCACAGTCAGCTTTTAAAATCAAGACATCCTAACACCTCCTGCAGCAAGGTCTGTTTTTAAATGATAATTTATCCATAGCAAAATAGAACTCGATGTGACGCATGCCCTTGGATCTCTGAAGTAACTGGCATTTTCTCTCCTTAAAAATCACACACAGATGACTCTGCGACTTCTTTCTTCAATTTGCAACTGAGTTCTCAGCTTCCATCTCCATTGGGCTGCGATTGGGTTTTGATTACAGCTTGATCTGTGCATTCATCAGCTAAGGACGCGGCTCTGAAAGTCCAACTCGGTCTTGTTGGCCAACCAACACGTACGTGGAAGAGGACTGTTTTCACTGGTACTGTGTATGTTTGTCTTAATACCATCCTACTTGTTTTGATTTAAAAAAAGATTAAATGCTTAGCCTTTTTTGGTAAGCATTTCAAATCTGGATTTATCTGTCATTTAAATTCAGAGAAGTTTATGTAAGTCTTCCCATTGGCTTCAGTGTATTTTGAGTGAGGCCGCAGTATAGGAGGTCCTAATTTATACCAGTGTGCGACAGCAAAATAAGACACTTAAATGATCACTGGCCACATCTACACATGCGCGTAACTGTGGAATAGGCTTTAGCTGCGGAGTAAAGCGTCACCATCTACATGTGCAGCGTTATTAGGCCGCAGTAAGCTAACACCACTGTAAGATAGTACTGTCTCACACCAGGGTAATTTATTGTGGTTAAACATATGTGTAGATGCTGACCATGGGTGTAAATTGTGCCCAGTCAGCCCAGCTAGCAGGGGGCCAAATTCCTGCCTGGAGCCTAGCCATACTTTCAGCAGCCTCATGCCCCACCCAGCCCCTCCACTGCTCGACACTGCCATCCCCATGTTCAAACTGCTGCTGTCCCAGGCACATGTATAGACGCTGTGCCCAGGAGTTTACTCTGGCTCAAACTGCTCCAGAGTTTATTGCTTTACATTAATTGCACATATAGATGCACTCACTATAACTTAACCCCACTGTATTCAAAAACGGGTTTTGCATTTCTATAAAACGGCACCACGCATCAACGTCAGTGTTTATTTCGGTATGTGAACAATGCATTTACATGACACCGTGTAAATTAACGACGTGGACTAACAAGGAATTAAACTGAAAAATAGCCAAATATCCTCAATCAGCTAGAAAAATGTGCATTATAAAAACTACACTTTTCTTGACAGTATAAAAAAGACCTTAAAACTACAGTTACTTTAAAAACAAGCAACATAAATTACATTAGAAATACGGTATAACCAAAATAATACAGTATCAATTATCTCATGGCAGTCTTTTGAATGTAACGTATCTTCAATAAGGAGAGTTTGACCCTGCATCTGTGACGCTCACAAGTAAATCACATCTGAAGGTACAGGTCCATTCCCATTCAGGTCTATGGAAGTTCTTCATTGAATTCAAATGGCAACGTGATAATCAGACTGTAAATGACTGGCACTACTGAGAAGAACAAGGGTTACAGATTCAGTCCCACAATCTGCAGTGTATTGCGAGTTTCATTCAAGCTAATTTACCCTACTTCTCATCATCCTCTAATTTGCCGAGTATTTCTTTAAAGGAGGAGAGACTTCAAGTTTACACAAAGCTCTGTCCCGTCACAGCTAGATAACGCAGGTATCAGAAGCAAGTTAATTTAAAGCTAGATATGGTATCTTTGCCATGGTCTGCTGTGTAGACAGACTCACAGTTCTTCCCTGAAACAAAAAAAAATTCTTACCTGAAACACTCAATGCTCAAGCCTACTCTTGTCAGAGGGAGTGAGATTTTGGTCACTGCAGAAAATGCAGCAAGACTGCACCCCTAAATGGTTATTTATACAGGCTTAGCCTTTTAACAAAGATTCGACTGAAAACGATAAACTCTGCTTTTGAATTTTTGTTTCTGATGCGCATTCTCGGGATAGTCTAGCCAAGTATCTGACAGTCTCTTTGGCCACACCATGCTTATTTTTCACAGGTTGGTTCATGTTCTGCTTTTCCCCTACGCTGTGGACGTTCTGTACAATAAAACCTTGCGATCTACTGTCCTGATTGCGGCTGGATACACAATGCTCCTTAACTTTTTCAGAACGCGCTTGCGTTTTTTCTGCCTCTGATCTCAGCTCCCTCTGAAAGGTGCTATGCTCTGTGGAAAAGACACCGGCCTGAGTCAGTTCCCTCCACTCACAGGCCCCTTCTTTGAACGTTTCTGCCCATTTCACAGCATTCCTGGCCAAGGCAGTTTTCTGCACAGAGCTGCTTTTGATCTGGCTTGATGCAAAAGTAATTACATTCAACGGAAAAAAACCTTGAGTCTGACAATGGCAATGCCCGTATTCTAGAACGGTAGTGCTTGAATGTATCAGAGGAAAACAGACATTTAGAAAATCATGGTTAAAATATGTGTCACAAGGCTGGCTGTGTCCAGTCCTACCCAGATTAGTTTCTGTGACTGGTAAGCAGTCTTCTTTTGGTCTCTGGAGATTGTGCATGCCAGCTGGGTCCTCCAGTTCTCTCTGCCCAAGTTCTCTCTCCAGCATTATGCACTCCAGCTCTTTATCTGCAAATGTTCTTCGTTTCCTCATCCTCTCACTCAAGTTAGAAATAAGACATCGGTTTTCCTGTGGAGGAGGTTTATAGCCTAGGAGAACAATGGAAAGCTTTCTTGAGTGTTTTCTTTATCAATTATCAATACTGGAACTTCTTGCTACAAAAGATTTGGGCTTTCTTCGGCTTAGTGCCATGCAAACACACGGTAACAGGTTGTCCCTACCTTGCATATCTTACCTTTAGAGTAAGCTGGCCAAAACTTTTTTTTTTTGAGCAAAACATATTTCATTGGCTGACAGTTTCATGAAACTGCTCATTTCAATTACTTTTTTGGATGACTTTTTTTTTTCAGAATAACTTGAAACAGAACTGACTATTTTACTTTCCTCAGTCTTCCCATTTGCAGTTTTTGAGTTGTTACTTATATTGCCCTGCCCAGACACACCTAACTTCTTCCTCCCTGGTCCTGATGGAAACAGTAAAAATTAGCTGAAAACAAAACATTTTATTTGTTCTTTTCTTGAACCAAATCATTTCCTGAATTTCTGTTTCACAAAAATGTTTTAAGCATTGTGGTTTTGTCCTGAACTACGACAAAATACAATTACGGAACAGCCAAGTTATTTGTGAGATTAAAGCGTCAGGCGTTCTAAGCCTGAATAACAGACTGCAAGTAGATTTACAGTCGAAGTAGGCAAGAAACAAAGAAAGAGGTCCTGAGAACAGAGGAGCAAAGTGACTTGCGCATGCCCACCTAGGAGAAAGGCTAGGAATAAAGCTAGAAATAGTCCCCAAACCTTCTGACTCCCAATTCACTTTCCTATCAGCTATACCATGCTACCTTCTTTCCACTTACAGTTTACCAAGAGTCCTAGTATTTTATATATAGATCAAACAAAACATTTTTCATTAGGATTAACATTTACACAAGTATAATTACATATATATAAATGTACAAGGAGACACAAACGTAAGGCCTTCTTACAGTGAAGTCAATACAGCAGCTATAATAAGGACGAAGGCCAAGCTGCCCGGACCTCCTGCATAAGATAGGCCATAGACTTTCAATTGAATAATTCTTTCATTGAGTGCAAATACGTGTGGCTGAGACAAAGCATCTGTGTCAGGACTTCAAGCAGTGGAGAAGCCATGACATCCCTTGCCAGTTTGTACTAATGGTTAAACTGCCCTTGTTAAAAAAATAAAACCCAACAAAAAACTGGACTTTAAATCCTTACCAACTTGCAAACTTCTTAGGTTCTGGTGCAAAATTGTGTGTCAACAGTTATAAATTGGTTTAAGAATGGCAGGTTTCATTTTATTTTAATCTAGGAACCAATTGGAATTAAAACTAAATTTAAAAAAATTGATAAAATATCCAAGCAGCCAAAATTGGCCATGAAGTGTGGACCCCCACCCCCAGATACAGATTAAATTTTATGCACAATTCTTCCTGGTTTTGTGTTGCAAGTCTCGAGGTTTATTCCAGTCCCCTCCCCACAATCTAAATCATTTTTTGTTTTATTAGAATTCAAGTACATTTTTTAAAAGGGTAAAGTTGGGGAGGAGGGACCTGCACCCCCCCCGAATACAAATATTTTGTTTTGGGTGAGATTAAATTTCTCAGTTGTCCTAAGCAAATTCCCCCATCCCCAATTCACCTAGAAAACCAACAAAGCAAATGCACAGGTCTCTGCACTGCTGCAACCAATGTGCTGAAGGAAAGAAAAAGCATGCCTTATGTTCCATTTAAATGAGCCCTAATTTCTACTGTAAGGCCCTGCAAGGCACTTAAGCACATACCTAATTCTAATAAAACATGATTAAAAATGAGGGATCCCCAGCGCGCATGAAGTTAGGTGTGTTTGTAAGGAGTCTGCTGTGCCGGGGCCTAATCTGGCTTCATCTTCCTGCCACTAGATGTTGTCACGCTAAGATGAAGAGCCACTCTT